CCACCAGATCTCGTCGAGATGAGAGGGTTGGGATTATCGTACAAGAGAATATTGATGTATACCCTCATATCGGATGATCCAGTTCTCAAAACTTATAATCCATTAGGGAATTTATCCTCTAATGAACTCATTTTTCCTCTTATCATACGCATGCACCCAGATAAAAAAATGGGATACTATTTTTTTGGTCCTATTGTCTTCGTTAATGAATTGAATATATTCTTCAGAATGGAGTGAAATTATTGCAACAATTATTATTATTATTATTGCATTTAAATGTCGAATTTCAATGTTCAGTAAAAATACGGAATTGTTTAATTATACCGCGTATGAAAATCAAATCGCTGAGGGGGAAAGTCCTCGGCCCTCGGCCATTGCACATTATATCACCCAAAGTCCATTTAACACAGGAGCCAATCGTTAACAAACTCTCCAACCTAGTATCCAACTCCTCCTTTTCGTTTTCAGCTCGACGTCCTCTCCACAAAGTAACCCCTCCCAAAACCCACCCCCATCTCTTCCTGGTTGAGAGTAGTCCATTAGCTCCTTGTATTATTGCAACTCCCTCCCTCATACATGCACTTACAAAAATCGTTAATTCTTGGGATGGCAATTATTAAAGTCATTAAGCACTCAGCAGATTTCCTCATAATCCCAAAACTTATTTTACAGCTCATCAGTAATGACGAGGGGTTGGAAAAAAAAAACCCACAGTGAGAAAGGTGAGGATGCGAGCAACAATTTATGAATAAAGTTTTTGATGGGGATGGCCATGAGAGTAATGAGGCATGGGGTAAACGAGGAGTGTCAGATCTTGTCGTGAGTTGAAGAGGTGAAAATGCAACGGGGACTTGGATAATATATGGTAACGGAACACCTAAGTAAGAGCCATAGGGTTTATGCACCTAGTGATACACCCGTACTGATGCAAAATCATTTGTCTGTGTGTGGTGTGTTCATGTAGGCGTGTAGTTGTGCGTTACCTGGACGGCAATACTCTCGGATAGCCAGAGGCCAGCTAACGTTTATAATATTAACGCTAATGGACTACCTTATACCTTATATACATCCCCCTATATTTCGTAGGAGAGAGAGAGAGAGAGAGAGAAAGATATTTCTCTATCTCTCTCTCTCTCCTGGCGACGTTACTACGCCGCACTCCAGCTACCATTCCACCCGGTTCGTCGGGTTGTACTCCACTTCGCAACGCCAAAGTACGGGATAATATTCATGGATGTGTATGCCAGCTAATGCACCAAGGCGGAGACCAGTCGAGTAATAACGGATAGTATCGATGTACTCAAGTATACTTGGGACTCTGTTATTACTTGAAATTTTCGGGTTATTAATAAGGTGTTACGGAGTTAACCCAAGTTCCCCAAATATATTCAATTAAAATGACGCAAGTGACAATTTGTGCACCGATTACTGAAGTAACGCGGAAAATTTGATTGAAGATAGTTATGCGAAACAGATCGTTTTATTAGTACAGCCGGGAAAACTTGGAATATCGTATTTATCTGTAATTTCTCACCGCACGCAATCCAAATAATTAATAAAATTTCTAACGTCACAAGAAAGTCGAGTGCACCGACCCCAACTGTAGGAACACTCGGAAGGGATGGGGTATAGAGCCGGTGCAGCTGAAAACGACGTGGCACTTAACTTTTAATTAATATTATATACCTAATTAGCCCGTCGGGCAGAAGTACAGTGCAGAAGGGGGGATAGAGGCTGCACAAGTAGGTGGGGTGAAAAAAGGGGGAGTGATGAGGGGTGGAGGGTGGAGAGGGGCTGGGAGTTCAGGTGGGTTTTGTGTATTAATTTAATTTTCAATCTCACGGGGTAATTCTTGGCACAACGTTAGTTTTAATCAACCTTCTCCCATCCACATACACTGGTGAGGGGTAGAATGCCGAGAGGGGCTAGGAAATTACTGAGAAGAGAGTGCCGAGTTGGAGGGGAGGGAGATCTGCAAGGCCAATAAAAAGTGGCAATAAAAAGTGCCCCTCAGGAGGCAATCCCTCTCCCTCCCACTCTCTTACTCACCTACAAAACCCCGGGATTAACTCTAATCAAATATTTACATTTTAATTCGGACGGGCGTATATGCGTGGCATATACGCGCTGGGGGCGCACTAGACGCTATTTCCTACCCCTGTGTTCTCTCTTATGCGCGACCCTTTACGACGCCAAGTTCTCGTCGTTTAATTGCAAATTGCCTGGGCATCCACTACAACTACTGTATCATGAATTCGACGGGCTCCGCGGAGGAACGCTTGATACCACCCAAATCACTCCAATGGGCTAATTTGTACACGTAAAAAAAGAAATACTATAAACATTCCCATTCCTTTAAAATCAGTCTACCACTTTTTAAGTCTGCATGCTATATTAAAATTATGGTATTGTATATAATATTGGAAATATTTTTCCATTTTTTCGAAATTATTCTTTAGATGAAAAAATTAATTAATAAATTCCCCACAAATATTTATGACGAACTAAGCAATGAATATGTGGTAAAACCGAATTGAATGTAGAAAGTTCTTTTCTGACATTAAAAAATTTTCTTCTAGCATCAAAAAACTTCTCCTCCCTTTGCACCATCTGACGCCGCCCCCAGCGTTTTTTTTTTATTTTTGCTCTTCGCAGACGATAAAATAGACATTGCGAACGGGATAATATTTTAGAGCCGTGTAAACGGAGGGTCGCGAAGGGCGAGTGGGGAGGAATGAGGAGGGGGGGTTCAAAGGACACGAGAAAAAAAGTTGTTCAACAGGCTGAGAAACGCATAAACAGCTGAATGCCCTGGGAAAAGCAGGTTGGAGACAGCTTGTGCCTCGTCTCATGGATTGAACTGGTCTACCTGCCGTTGGTCAACGAAGAACCCCAACGATTCGTTCCACCTGCCCACCACTGGGGTACGACAGGCTCGAGGTAGGATACACACAAAAAACGAAACGTAAATTACGCGATTAAAGACGTAATTACGAGATGAAATACGTAAATTACGATTTCTGACCTCGTAAATTATGGAATACTGCCTCGTAAATTACGGGATTAAAAAGCAAATTACAATTTTAATCCTGTAATGTACGTTTTTAATCTCATAATTTAAGTCTTTCAATTCGTAATTTATTTGGTGGGAAGCTTCATAAATAACATTCTAAAACCGAAATTCTATAAATTTGTCGCGGTGAAATTCAAAGTTATTGAGTAAAATAAATGAGCCCAATATTTTGGAGAATGAATAATCAGAGAGGTAACTTAGAGGTCAGAATTAACGAGAGGTTTTGGGGGCAACTCCGAGTGATTTAGACGAGTAAATAACACGATTCTATAACTGTCCCATAAATTTTGCCACAACTCCCTGATGCTTAATAATGACCAAACAGCACTCCACACTCTAGCTGGGTGCCTTGGATGCCATCCAAATATTTAGCATGCTAAAAAGTTAAAATAACACGGCACTATGCACCACTTAAAGCTGTTCTCTAGAATTTTTGGCTCGATACCCTCTCCATTGTGCACCATCCCCTCTGTACCCTAGAGCCTGGGGAATGATGCGAAATGATTTAGCAGAATGCACTAATTGCCCGATGATTTACCCTCCGTCAAGATAAAAATATTTGCAGCCCCTACGGGCCATAAATCGATTTAATAAGAGCATTTCGATAGTTCATTATATTATTTTGAAAATAATTATTTGAAAAATATTTATTAAAGAATGATTCATATTAAGGGATCATTATAGAATTAATAAATATTTTTTTCTCCTGTGTAATAAAATTCGGCATTTCAGGGCAAATAACTGGGTCAGCCATCAAAAAGTATTTAGGTAAGACGTCGAAAGCAGAAGCGCTTGATATGGAATCGATTCCTGGCACCGCACACTTCCGTACATTGAAATTTTATCCATTCACCCCCCCGGTATCTGTTATTGTAGCAACTGGCGAGCTGGATAAGTGCCTAATTACGTGACCGATGCTATCAGCAGGTTTCCGATATGAAACTTGAAGCTAATTGGAATACCGATAACTCAACTTCAAAGGGGTATTATGTAAATATCCGAGTTAACCCAAACTAATGCGAACGACATTTAGCGATAACATTGTGGATCGAGCGTAGGACTGTGTCCCGATGAAATTCCCGGGAAGCAGAATAAGAAAGAGGCTCACAAGCGGGTGGCCTGACTTTTATATCTCCGGATGATTTCAAGCCAACGATCTAAGTTTTTGGCAGGTTGCCAGCATGAATTATTGTCCCAGACTACGTAATCACACGAACAAGTCGCAGAAGCTCTTTGGATTAATTCACCTTCGATTTATCCTCAACCCCCCTTGGATTCCTGCGGGACTAAACAAAAATATGAGGGTGATGGGATGACGGAGAGCTGAGGGAAAAATAACAAGATCATCTGATCAAGAGGTGTTTGAGCACGTGGCTCAAGAGGTTGAGGCGCCTGCGTGCTGACACCGCGACACGAAATAGAAATTTCTTGCCGTGTACGGCACAACTCCCGGTGTTTCCGCGCACTCAGTCGTACGGCAGACGAGCCGCACGACGGTTTAACATTCAACCCCGAAATCAGAATTCTTTTATCAGCAAATTTGCTCGTTTCGTAAATGGAGAACTAAAGATAAGATGGAGAAAGCCCGCTCAATTGTCGATAACTACGAACCACACGATGGAATTCAAATGAGTCATTTCATTTTCAAGCCCGGAAAAATCTCTTTCAAATGAAATAAAACTCGTTCTATTTCACTGATCCAATCCGGGGATAATCAAATCTGAGGAACTATGAGCAAGTATCGACGAAATGAAGTAATGTCGTTCAATCGCCTAGGTCCTCTGACTAGACGACTCGATAAAAATCATTAGGATCTTATTTTCTAACCCAAAAGAATATCTTAAAAATGAAAAAAAATCGTCGAATTTCACTCAGCTAATCCCGAAAAAGTCAAGTTTGAGTAAAGCTTGCGGAATTTCTGACTCACCCTGTGACACATACGTACTCCCTTGCCGCACCGTTTCCCTTTAATCCCGGCCGAAGATTCCTCGATAACACACAATTAACCAGTTTCACTATTTAAAATTTCATCAAAATAATGCTCGCAGCACGATTTCCTCGATCACAGATAACGTCACAAACTCAATTTCCACGTCGCACAACTCCCCGGAATTACGCAGTTTTCGCGCACGACTGATAAACCATCAATCGACAAGCGATAATTGTCGACTCATCAGATCTGTCAACGGTTGAACGATGCATCAATCAGTGATCATCGCCGTGAACCCTGGAGCATCCCCTCGATCAACATCCAGGCACTGGAGTAGAAACAGACACCGTTGATCAGCCAAATGTCTCGCATTATCCCAAAAACACAAATCGATCCTGAATCCCTTGACTCTAAAATTTCAATTCACCGCACCCGTTTAATCAGAAATCAGGTGTCAACACATGAGTCATTGATCGACCATTAATCCAATAACAATGATTTACTGACGTTTGTAGATCGGAAAAAAAAACGCACGCGGTTACAACCGATAACACCGAGTGGGGTAAAGCACTAGAGTTCGGATCTGCTCGGTTCGACGGCAGACGAGCGAGTGCCGACGGGGGAGATATCCCCACCCGTTGACCCGCAGTATCGCGAAGGGGGGAGGACGGCAAAGGCGTTGAGGGGCAGGGAGAGGGGTAGTGGGGTTGTTGGAGGGGAGAAGATAGTAATGAGTGCACGCAGCGGAGGAACGGAGGGGCGTGAGTCTGGGGGGTGGGGCATACCTAGGGGTTTCCCCCACCCGCCAGCTTTTATTCCCCTCTACTCCTTTCAATAACCCCCCATTTCATTGCCCACCCCCCTTCACCCTTACAGCTTGAGGGGTTGTCTCCGTCTCGGTTTAATACGCCAGTGTCGACCCTCCGTCCTTTTTCGCGAGTGAAACATTTCGGCGGGACGACGGGTATCTGTTAATTAAACGACTCGCGTGCGGACTGGATTACTTATTTGGGGAGAGGGGAGAGGCTCCGAGGGGTGGTTTAGGGGTTTGTACGGACTTGGGAGTCCTGTGGCATTGAAATGAATTCGCGATTCCGAGAAATTAACGGTGGAAATTGAGAAGACAAAATTTTGAGGTTTTCGTGGTTCTTGAATTTTTAGATGTTCTGAAACTAATTTTTTTTTCTGCGAAAATCTCGTGATTTTAGATTATATTATATTGAAGTGATCGGATGGGGGTTTTTTAAATTACTGTAGAAATAGGGGACTTCAAACTTTTGTATTAAAACAGATAGGCATTTCAAGTCGCCGAGATCCACTGGTTTTTTCTTGGAATTATCCGAGAAAAGTTTTATTCAATTTCCACTGAATGGAGTTCCCCCTCGATATTGAGGTAAGACAATGGTGGAATAATGAAGGGGGGAATGAGTCGGCTGATGTATCACCACTGCGGGATAATTGCTGGGGATGGTTTTCACCTGGGATACGTTCGAGGAAAGTTTCAACTGAGATCGGCAGCCGTGTCAGCTAGAGGGTCTTTGGATTGCGGGATTGCTCAGCCGGTAATCCAATAAGTATGACATGCCCCTGAGTGGTTCAGGCGTGAGGGTAGGTGACCTCGACGTCTTGTCTTCGCGAAACTTCAGAGAAAATTTGTCAAAAAATCTTCAATGTATCGAACGAAAAAACAAACAGACAAAAACGATCGAACTTCGAGACTTCTACACGTCTAGCGTTCAGACTTGAAAAATCCCAATGGCAATTAAAATTTAGGGCCTTAACTTCGATATCCTGGAGGGAGTGAAAGTTAGGGATGTTTTTGACATTTTACGGACAATTTTTGATACTCTGAGGTAAATAAGTGGAAATGGTCTCCCGCAGTGCGGAGAAAATTGATATGATGAATAAATGACGATGGAGAGGTTGATCAACCCCTTGATGGTGAATTCCCGGATGACGAGACATCAATGTCCAAGAGTCAATATACTCTGTATGGCAGTGATCACGGGCCAAGTCACTTTGGAATTCGGTGTGCGGCTACCGCAGGAGCTCACCAGGGGCGGGGCGGACGTCAGGCAAATGAAAAGCATCCCTAATTTGAAACTGAGAAGCGAAAGGCAAACAAGTGCCAAACCCGGTTTCTCCGACGACCTTTTTTATACCCTCTCCTGGTCCACCTATCCTCCTTACTTTTTTATCCTCCACATCGTCTCCCTCACTCTACCATTCCTCCGGGCAATTATGGACCGTTTATACGAAGGAGGCACCATGGGGCTAGCCCTCTCTCTCGGACAAGATGAAAAAAGTAAATGACCAATGTGGCTTTTCCATCGAGATATGCATCCAATACTGGCATCGAGTGGTACAATTAAATAACCACTATCGGATGCACCCTGACTGTAACCGACCAGTCAGAGATTTGAAAATTTTGGGTGCATACATGCTTAATTTGTCAGTTAATGAAAAATCGATTCTGTAATTACACGAGCAAGTATTTTTACCGGAATCCCTTGTACAAAACATTTTATAACGAACAAAAAATCGAGATCAAATGGATAATAAAAATGGAAGGACAATAATTGGCTCTCCCGAATCCCCCTAAAAAAACAAAATTCGTGAAAAATAGCAGACGCTGTTGGCAAAAAAAGTATCAAAGCCCTGACGTTTATTCATAATATACGAGTTATAACATTGCAGCCAATTTGTATGCAAACAGAGAATATTGTTCGGGCAGGTGGCGGTGGGCTTCGGAAATGAAAAAAAAAAAGCCAGAGGTCCTTTTCAATTCGACTCTATTGATTCTTTCCATTCGCAGTGGGTTAGGTATGTGACTCTGGTATGCCCGTGAATTTTGTATGTTCTGAAGAAACGATCAGTGTAAATTGTTGTACTACACACAATTTTCGAATTTTTATTGTCGTTCCAATGACTTAGAGGGTGAAATATTAATTCTCTGATCAATTTGTACAATAATTCTCATTGCAAAATTACGATATCGCTATATTAATATTCCTGGTTACTTTCGTAATCGGTAAGTGAGATTAATTTCCATAATTTCATGAGAAACCGGATTCATGGCTTTTGCTACGTGAAGTGTGAACTTCAACATCATGAAGTAGAAGTCACTTCGTGAAGTAGAAGTTTGATGTTTGGAAGTCGAAGGATCAATTAAAAAGATAATAATTAAATGAGATTTCTAAATATATTTTAAAATTGAATGCATCCCCAGGCGCATTTTAACAAATACTAATCATTTCAAATCTGAATCCTTCCGAACAAGTCAAGGTTCAATCGAACTCCGAAACGTTAATTAGCTGTTCAAAAAAATCATTCAACTCAATAGCCTGCACCCGCAATCAAATATGTGTGATTGATGTGGATGTGTATGCGACTGTTCATTGATTTCATTTTTTAGTTTCAAAACAATTTTTTTTTTTCAATTTACGAAATTTTTTTCTCATTGCGCGGGCTTGACTGCGGACGATCAAGGGCCAATTACGTACCATATGGAACAGGTACTTTTCCATACGTGGAAACGCGCCTGGAAGGTACTCCAGTCCACATACTTTCCCCGCCATTCCTCTTGCCAACGATTTTTCATTTTTTTTATTACTTATTATTATTATTTTTTTTTTCAAAAAACCATCCTCCCCTGCTTACTATACAGAGCAGCGCCACTTGACGCTATGTCAAGCACGCTACATAACCCGTCGACTATTGGCACTGCACGTATGCCTTTCTACCCCACATATGCTCGCATTATGGAGTAGAGGGGTATGTGGTGCATCATGTGAAAGGGGGGAAGTACCTGGAAAAAGGTAATGCTAGTAACGCTCGAGGGTTTTTCCAATGGGATATTTCAATGAAATACCATTCAATGCTAAAATATTTTCATTAATTTCGAGGTATTTAATTCTTTCATAAAAAAATTCCTCCAATTTGCTGGAAAAATAATCGATCAAGTGATATTGCACCAATTTTTTTTCACGGGGTTTTCATATTTTTTCCAGTGATTACTCGGATTTTTTTTATGCGTGAATATTCAATACCAAATTCCACATTTTACGGGATTAATTGAAACTAGAACGATTTTTGTGATTTTTGGACATTCAGGTGGAATAATAATCACACGAGCATTTAGTAATAGTTATTTAATAAAATTAGAAAATTGCAACGTTTTGTCAAGTAACTTCATAAGCATATTCTGATAAAAAAATTCAAGGGATTAAATTCGTATTTAAAATTTATCTTAATGTTCGTACGAAGAAAAAAAACACAATAAAAATTTTAATAATGTTAGGGCCTTAAATTAAAAAAAATTGCACTTTTTACTACGCGTATAGTAGCATTACCTCCTCGGTAAATAAATCCCTTTCAAAAGTGATTTTTTAAATTACAGCCATTGGCATTCCGCGTTCTCTCAGTAAAAAAAAAACGGAAATTGGTCTTTGCCTAGAAGAATTACCGTACCTCCAATACCAGTGTACAGGTTAAATTGGGTTGCAATCTTTAGGTAGATTCTGAATTATTAATTCTCCCATTGAACGAAGGGCTTGAGCCCTGAGTACCCCCCACCAAAAGAGTGGAGGGAAAGATGGCGGGCAGGAGGTGGAGGAGAGGTTTTTTGAAATTAAAGTGGAGAGGTCTTTTCATAACAGCTACCGTTTTTCAAGAGTCCGCGATTGTTGTGTGTGGCCTGTTCAACGCCGGCTTACAAACATGTTACCAGGGTAGGTAATTATATTTACCTTTTTCGTTTCATTATTTAGGCAGGAGGGGAGGGATAAAAAGGGTGCTCGAATTGTCCAACACAATCAATTTTCCCTTTTCAATTTTTACCACTCCTGAATATTCATTAATTTTCCTCCAACGAAACGGGGCAAAAATTGATTCAGCGAAAATTGATTTGATTAAAAATCAACAAATCATTGAATTCCATTCGCCAATGTTTTGGGAATAATATCTGGTAATTTTGCGTGATTGATGGGGAATTAATGATATTGCGACAGAAGTGATTAAAATGCATGGAGATTACGACAAATATTACGTGATATGACGGTTGTAGAGTAATTACATTATTTTCAATGAAACAATGCGTATAATTTATTGCCGATTCAGGTCGAAAACTTCAGCGGCAAATAATTTCCGCAGTAATAGATTCCGCAGTAATAGTCGAGAATAAAATGATTACATTAATCCTAACTGGACGAATTTTCAGACGACGCAATAAACGCAAATAATAATTTTTACCCACAATCAAGTGTTTCCCAAAAATACTCCGTTCTCGCAGGCTACTGCACCTGGTCCCCCCGATTTCCCGATTTTTCCCCAGAAAAAAACCCTATCAATACGTTCCACACTGAAGAATCGACAGCCAGAACAAATTGTCCACCCCTCCCAGACCTAAATCATTGTCCCATTGTCCCGAAAATAGTCGGTTGAAATCAATGATCACAAATTGTGCCCTCAATTCCCACCGAATCCTCCGGAAAATTCATCCCTAATTCCCGTAATTGAAACGTTAGATTGCAACAATCGCGCCTCGAAACTTTTTCATCGGCGGCTTGCATTTACACAAGCGCAGAATTGACGAG